ATACAAATGAAATTGATGAAGAGGAACATATATTTTAACTTCAATACACTTGTAAGTGTTAAGCATATGACTACTTGAAAAAATAGTATCACTTGGAGGAAAGGGTACTGGTATTATTAGAAGTGTTGACATTCAAAAAAAATCATTCTTTCGAGCAAAATTTGCCAAGCATACAGAAATGCCAACAGCAAAAACCACAAATTAGTAAGCAGGCAATAGCGAAGAGGGTGGAGCAATGAAGGAGCTAATTTCCACCCATCCAACAAGCCCTCACTCCACATATCATCATTACAGTCACAAAAAAGGGTCTCAATTAATTATGCATAATTGAAACTTCAATGCAGTAGGCAAAATTCAAGCAGGATTGGAAACACATGAGAGGAAAAAGAAGCATCATCAACTAGTCTGGGATCTCCATTATTGAGGCATGCAACCACAGAAGGATCACCACACAGGAGATCCTGAAGGGGAGCTACTTCCAGAGTCACGTTCAGAAAATTAAACTCTGTTCTAGCTGATTTTAAGGCAACGCACATTTTTTAGGAATAGGGTCTTGTTCCTTCACTGTAATTGGGGTGAATCCGAGATCCAGACTTAGAGCTGAGACCAGACTGAAAGCAGCTCCAGGCAGTTGGGCTGGAGGAGTGCCTGAGGCGCAGAGCAATTGCTAGAATCACAGCGAGAAGAAAGAGCACAGAGACCAAGGCCAACGCCACCACCAGGTAAAACTGCAGAGCCCCTCAGGACCTTCAGTGAGGTCTGGCAGCACCTCTTGCAGGTTATCCGCGACAATGAGGTGCAACGTGGCAGTAGCAGAAAGAGGAGGCTCTCCACCATGGCGAACTGCGTCTTTATCGCCTAAGGTAGGAGCCGTGCGCACCTCGCCCGTGCGCAGCCCCAGGCTGAAGAGCCCAGGGTCTCTGGCCTGAAGCACAAGCATTGTGTCCCAAGTCAGCGTCCACCGCCACCACCTTGGTGACCAGGTAGCCCGGCTCCGCGGCGCGCGGCACCGTGTCGAAGAGCGCTGAGCCATCGGCCCCAGCGCGGGGTAGAGTACCCGCAGCGCGTTGTCATTGCGGTCTCCCACCAGCACGCGCAGGCTCACGTTGGCGCTGAGTGTGGGCGAGCCCTGGTCGCGGGCCTGCAGAATGAGCTGGAGGGCACGCAGCTGCTCACGGTAGACGGCACGCTGCACAAACACACTCCACTCTCTGTGCTCAAGGACACGTAGGACAGCAGCGCTCTAGGCCAGGTCGCTACCCACGATGGAGTAGGAGACCTGGCCATTTGGTCCCAGGTCAGAGTCCCAGGCAGTGACTTGAGCTATAGAGACCCCAGGAAGGTTGTTCTCAGCTACGCGGATCATGTAGGAGGTCTGGTGGAAAACTGGTGCATTGTCATTGACATCTGAGATGTGCAGGATGATGCTTGTGCTGGAGGAGAGGGGCACCTTACCCCTGTCAGTGGCTGTGATGGTGACGTTGTATTCAGAGATCTCCTCTCGGTCTAGAGCCCTGTCTGTCACTAGCTTGTAATAGATCTTTGAAAAAGATTTCAACATAAACCCTGTATTTTCCAAGATCTGGCAGTAAACGTCTGCATTTTCTCCAGAGTCTCTATCTCTCGTTTTAATCAAGGCGATCACTGTCCCTGGAGGTGAATCTTCTGGTAGTGGAGTAAAGACTGAAGTCACAATCACTTCAGGTGCACAATCATTCTCATCAAGAATTTCAACTTGAACACTGCAATGGGAGGCAAGATCTCCAGGATCTTTTGCTTCTATATTCAGAGTGTAACTATTGGCAATTTCAAAATCCAAATTATCCTTTGTTGTGATTTCCCCTGTTATTTTGTCTAAGTTGAAAAACTGTTCCACATGTTCGTCCACAGTGTGAAAGGAGTAGGTGATGTCTGCATTAGTGCCCTCATCCTGGTCGGTGGCTGTCACTTGAAGCACCGAGAAGCCTGGGGGGACCACCTCCGGCAAGGTGACCCTGTACACATCCTGGCTGAACACTGGAGGGTTATCATTGGCGTCAGTGACTTGAATTTGGATTTGGGTGGTGCTGCTTCGAGGTGGGTCTCCCCCATCCACAGCTGTTAGGACCAACTGATGAAAATTAAGCTCCTCTCTGTCCAGAAAATGTTTGAGGATCAGCTCAGGATATTTATGTCCATTTGAAGTCTGCTTCTCTGCAAGATCAAAGTACTCATTGTCATGAAGATGGTACCTTTGTAGTGAATTAAGACCAGCATCTGAATCCTGGGCTGGGTCTAGAGGAAACGTTTTACCTGGCTTAGTGGATTCTCCAATTTTTAAGGCAATCTTATTTTGTTTGAATAGCGGAGTGTTGTCATTTATATCCTGAACAATTACTGCTACGTGGAAAATATTTAAGGGGTTTTCAGCGACAACATCGAAATGCACAATACACAGAAGCTGTCTCCCACAAATCTGCTCCCGGTCTATTCTGTCACCCACAAGCAAGTCCCCGCTGTCTGGGTTTACAGTAAAGTATTCCTTCTCTGCACTAACCCGCAGCTTCCGGGCAGGCAAGTCTTGGACACGGAGTCCCAGGTCCTTGGCGAGGTCTCCTACCACCGAGTTCTTGGCCAGTTCCTCTGGAATCGAATAGCGGATCTGGTCCGGGAGAGCGCGGCAGCACAAAGACAGCAGGAAGGTCAACATTACCCGCAGCCGCAGCGCCCAGCTGCTCATCTCCGCTCTTGGTCTCATCCTCTGCCTCCCTCTGCTGCTGCTCCTTTGAGGATAGACGGAATCAGCTCTCTGTGATGGCTGACTCGCAGTGGGGTTACTTTTCCTAATTTTGCTTGCCGCATCTGATTTCGTACTGCTCTCTTTTGCGAGGTTGGTTTAAGCAGGAAGTTACCCTCCCAGTCTCCCAAAGGCTTCTGTGATGTAGTCTTCCTTCTTTTGACCTATAGCGACGCCTAGAGGTTTTCTCAGGAAACTGCACGGCTTGTAAAGGTCTCGGGTTTTTTTCTTTTCAGTTTATAAAGAATATTTATATGTTTTAAAATAAATAATACATTGATATTGTTCGAAATTCAAAAAATATATATATATAAAAGAAAAAGGTGTATATGCCATAGACTTTTACTGGTATCCCGGAATTGTGTGGCATATTTCCCCCAAGAAAAATTTACCCATCCTGTGTATCTATCCAGATATGTTCTGTAGAGTGTGGCGGATTTTATAAACATTATCCCTCGTTTTGAGGAAAATGTATTCACACAATATATCATGTTATGGACTTTGTTTTATTTCATTCTTCATATATTGGTGTGATATGCGCATATATATGATCTATATAGTAGGGAGTCATTTTGTCTTGAAGATCATTTTAAATCAGTACATAAAGAGGTTTACCATGATTTGTAACAGCTATGTTGCAATCACCATGTGGATATGTAATAGTTGTTTAATCAGAAATATTTGCTAAAAGAAATTCAGTGCCCTTTGAAGACAAATATTTTTCCTGTGCTAATAGGTTAAATTATCTGCTGCTCTTAGGTATTAAAGTACATACTACTTTGAGGAAATATATTCTTAATGCCAAAATCTGAATATGGTTGACCAATTTTAGGTTAAGCGAACATTTCCAAATTAGAATTCAATATTTAATTATTTAAAATAATCTCCCCTCAGATATGAGTCATCTTTTAATATTCACTTGCTATTTTCTGTTTCCTTGACCCAAGTCAGCTAAATGAATCATATCTCATTCCCATTTATTCTGTTACTGCACCACAAACTCCAATGCATAGAAGATTATGAATGAACTATAACCCTTTGTAAATTGGATTGAGCCATATTTTACAAGCTTGTTACAGGTTTCAATTACTGAGAAACACAAATTAGTGTAGACATAGCCATTCATGAATTTTGAAGTAACTCACAAAAGTATATGAAGGCACAAAGAATGAGAGATGCATACTCCCCATACATGAAATATTTTATCCTATATCAGATCATTCCAGGGCAGCCTAGTGACAGACCTGTCCCAGACCAATTTGTAGAAGTATCAGTGGGTAGGAATGAGGCCAAATTACTACAGTGGCAGGAATCACCATAGTCCAGAATTGAACTTATCCAAGTTTTGTAAGAGGTTTACCAGCTGAAAATCAGAGACATTGAAGAGTTAGGTTCTCCTTAGAAATCAAAGTGGAACTCAAGAGCGATGCCATGAGAAGTAACTTAGAAATTATTAAAATGAATCCTACAGTCTACTTAGGTATCAGTCAAACAAAATGGGCAATGTTTTTGGTAATCATAGAAGTAAACCGAAAGAATCACACAAACTCATTGTCAGTATATCTCAGATCAGTAACAACAAAACATTTGAAGTACATCAGTCCACTGATAAAACATCCCTGTGAAAGTTATATCTAAAAATTACATATTTTCCATAAATTGTGACTACTTTATTTCCAGGGAAGAAAACTTCAAGGACAGCATAGTTGAGTGTAAGGAGGAGAAAATTTTAAGAATACCCAGTCTTAATTTAATATTAGCACCACAAGAAAGAATGCTATAAACATGAATTTATACAACTGCCTTCTAGTTTA